TTAAGACAATTCATTAAAACACAAAAACAAGAAAGGTGAATGGCCGTAATCTTTTTGCCATAGTGTTTTAGAGAAGTATCGTATATCATGGTGTCTTGCTCTGACGACACCGGTTCCATGACTAAGGAAAGGTTAGCAAGGTTGCATCGGGGTCTCAGGGCAGTGTGGAGAGGACCCATTCGCACAAAGCTACAATCCCAGCTTCAAAACAATCCCTATTCAGCTTCCTGTGAGACAAACTTATGGATCCATTCCAAGCACTACTTCAAACGGAATAAAAGTTATTCCAACGTCAATAAATTAAGGCAGTAGTTCCCAAACTTTTCCTAGTCGCGGCGCCCTTTTTCAATTAGCATTTTTCTATGGCGCCCTACACTAAGTATGACTATTCGTAAGTAAGAGATAAAAAATATAAAACTCGTGTATCTTCATTATTTCTTTTACTTTATTAACATTAAACTAATATTTAATAATTAATGTTATAAATGAGCTTGCAAACTACTACACATTTTCTCAAATTGAAGCTTATACAATATTTCGCGGCGCACATTTTGGGAATCACTGAATTAAGGGATTCCTCGAAAATCAGTTTTTCTGCATAACCGCTCATTTTTGTTTCAAGTAAGTTTTCTAGTAGATCTTGTATAAGAGCTGCCAGTCATTCATCACCTTGAAAATATGACGGATACAGTTCTGATATAAGATCCTCTTGTAGTTTGGAAACCTACTTATAAATGGAAAATATATAAAAAGCTGACTTTTCAATCATTTCCTGGAGGATAATTTTGAGGCTGAATTTAATTTCGCATTTAAATATTTGTATGAAAACTTATGTTTGCGAAGGGCAATCGGGTTTCGATAAATCCCTTGAGATAGCGTTGTTACGGCTACTTTTATTTCGTATGAAAGTGCATGCGAAACAGTCTCGTACTTCGATCTTGCCAGAAAACGGTGGCAGATTATCGTCGTTTTTCAGCCGTTTAACTTTACTGCTATTTTGGGTTTGATACAATTCACGAACATCTTAAGAGCTTCCCAAAAGGTATTTTAATTCAAACCGGACTGCAGTTTTGACCTCGCCTGAACTGGCCTCATCAACGCCTCCCGCAGGACTCGAACTATGTCAATGCAGCGTATAATCTCGACACGTAAACCACTCGGCCACATTGCCTCACGTGTCCAGGGTCACAGGGTAGATGTCAATTTCAAGGAAGGCTATGCATTTTCCTATGCAATATTGTATGGTGAGATTGTTATAGCAATCGACAAGATTACTTATTTTTCGTTTATGAGCAGGTTCTCAAAACCACTAGTAGTTGATTACTTTAGTAAATACGACTTTCCTCCATCGATATGGGAAAATGCGTAGCCTTCCTTGAAATTCACATATTCCCTATGACCCAAGGGAATTCGTGGCAGTGTGTCGAGCTTATATGCTGCCCTATCATGGTTCGAGTCGCGCTTGGGATGTTGATGATATCAGTTCTGGCGAGGTCGAAACTTCATTCTGGCCTGGATGATAATAGCTTTTGGGAAAGCAAGGCTATGTGGAATTCAATGGAAACGTAATGTTTACTCTTATGATTGTGGAAGAAATGGGGTAAATACATCATATATATATATATATATATGAGCTATTGATAGTGTCGAAAACCCGTTTATAAAACTAAAAATCTATTAAAGTAGTCTTCAAAATGCAGATTTTGGTATCGCTAAAGGCCTCAATTCTGTCTATGGGCGGAGTCACTGCGAGGTGGCCGGCTATTTGGGCACGCGAAGTCACCCTATGCTTCAAACAATCCGGTTCGTCTAAAATGCGACAGAGCGCCGACTCTGCCTTAACGCCTGCCCCCTTTGGCTTGAGATGCCCACTGTCCACACCCGCTTTCCGCCCTCTCTGGGCTTGGGGCTTTTTCGTCCCTTTGGCCGGCTAGCCAGGTGCAGTCTGATTGGTCGAGTTATTCAGTTCTCCCAGATCCTCCGATTGGCTGATAGCATGTCCGACTCTGATTAAATCCGCAAATCGCGTTTGTGTAAAAGAGACGACTTGGCTTTGTGTGGTTGTGAGTTGTATGGGATCGCTAAAACGGTGCCTGATTCAGTTTGCCTGATCCCAGACAGGCGAGACGGCCAGCCGAGCTGATAGTGTCAGATGTGGCCTCATAAGAGTGTTCTTGAGCCGGAGTCCAACTATTCTTCCGTTGAAATGATTCGGCCGAATGAGGCTAATGGTGGCTACTATTCCGGCTTGAATCAACCGCCCGGTGAGGAGTACACCGCTGACCGACCGAGTGTCTGTCAGCCTCATTCATACTCCAACCAGCCGACCGAGCTCACTTGCTCGGCCACCTACGCGTATCCAGCAGCTCTTCAAACGCCCGACAGAAGTGTCAGCCATGCGTACCACGACTTCCAGACGCCACGATGCACCGCTTTGACCGCTCAAACGACCGGCCAGTTGGGCTCGGTCCGTCCGGCGGAAGTCGAACTGCAATCGGGCTCGCGACTGAGACGCAGTAATGAAGTCCAGCCGACCGGACGTGGCTACGATGTTATGCCGGACCTGGTGACGGCGGCCTGTTGCCACCTGACGCCAGCATGTCTGCGAGAAACAGGTGCTGAGAAGACGACGTCGACACAAGACAAACCAGCTCGTGGAAAGAAGGAGGGTGAGTTGGCTGATTTAGGGCGTAGCGAAGCGTCTGATGAAATGGATAACCAACTGATGATTGATAGGCTTTCAGCACAGCTTGAAGCCATCTTCGTCCGCCTTCATTCGAAAGTATATAAACACAAATGGGCTGACTTCCCTTTAGGTTCAATTCTCCTTTGGCTGACCTCGTTTTCGAAATTTAAACGTGCTTTTTCACGGGGCAACAGTATTCATGATATTTTTCGTGGATTTGTTAGGTTCCATGAAGATTGGCAGCATCGAGATTGACGTCGTTATGAAAGTACATGCCTTGATCGCTCAAAAAAAAAACACATCTTTAGCAGTCAAAATATGGGATATATGAAAGTAACAAGACAAAATGATAGATACCACAAGTGTTCAGCAGAAAGTTGTCTCTTTGATGAGTTGTAGTTTGATGCTGTGCCTGTCAGGACTCACTAAAAAAGAACATATTCCACTTTTAAGGCATTTATATAATTTAAGAAAAAGCCTCTCCCTCAATTCTGAAGTCACTTTATGTGACCTAGACTGGTAAAGTTCTTATCCAAGAATTACCTATATTTTCGAATACTACTCACACCGAAAATAAGTAATGTTTATTTGGTAACTCCATATACACTACTACCGACTACGATTTCGGTGAAGCGTCTAGGAGTGTACCAAGTCGATTGTCCGACAGTGGAATTTATCATGGCTACTATGACAGTGGACTATGCACAGAGTGTGTCTATCTGGGTCCCTCTGACTATACGACATTTGTTAAAATGAGGTCAAACCACTTGCTCTGCTTGTTTCTAGTTGGCGGAATTTCGTCGGACTTAGCTTCAACAAGGGTGGCATACACACCCAATTGCAGGTAACTAGAATTTTTCCCAAATTATATTAATAGGTTTCATACTTTGATTGAATTTCGCTTAGCTTTGCTTCCCCAAAGCTATTCTTATCCAGACTGAGCAGGTCTAGTTAGCACCCCAGGTAAGTCTTAAAATGGAGTCCATCATTGAAAAGAATACCTTTTTGAAAGTAAGGCTAGGTGAAAATTCAATCGAAACGTGAGGCATACTCGTCACATTTTTGGGAAATTCAACTAGCATTGCCTTATCATTTTAAATCAAATGACCTACTGTTAGGCTCAAAAACCCTAAGTTAAATAGCAATAATTTGTCAGAATTACGGAGCAAACGGTCGCTTAGATAATTCAATAGCAGAAAGACAGTGCACATTACCTGAACAAAAGGTCATCTTGTAGATGCAAAGAGAAAATGGGTTTTGATGAATCTCATGAGATAACATTGTTGGGGGGACTTTCATACGAAATTAAAGTCCCCCAGAAAAAGGTCATCTTCATTACTGAATTACTCTTAAATAAGAAACTGGTGTAAGCCCAGGTCGCTTAGGCTAATATAAGGACTGATTGTGCATTTTGGTCCACAATACAAAGCCTAAGCCTAGAAATGTCATTAACTATCATTCAGTCCTGTCTACAAAGAGGTTTTATCATTCAGGTCAGATAGCAGATGCTACTTATCCTCGTTGTCGCTTTAACAGTTGCAACGGGATTCGAAGCGGAGTCCTGCGTATCGTGACAACTCGTTAGTCTCGAGCCTGATTTACTCGCAGTCAAGATGTGACCTTCAAGGCTCGCCAGTTATCTCTCATATCGAATGGTATAGTGGTATTATCGAAGAGAAGGCCTAACCTGCATAATGTTGTGGAGATTTTCATTTCGTATGGAAATGGCGGTTAAAGAAATCTGTGGGTCGATCTCACCACAAGACAGCTGCTGACCCTTTTCGTTCTGCAACCATTTGATTTGACTATATAGTTTAGGTGGACTCAGTCAAGGAGTCATCCTCCTTCAGTTCTTCTTCATCTTTCGTCTTTCATGCCACTTGAGCTGGAAATCATTTTTTTAAAGTTTCAAGTTAACACATTTCATGGAGTCTTGAAACGTTTGCAGGAATTAATTCTAGCTCCAACAAAATATATACGTTGTCATGATGGACTAAAGCCGAGCTCATTTTCACCTAAAATAAAGGTGGATATTTCATGGACTCCTTTAATTCGAACAATGCTGTAAAATCAAAAGATTGTGATATA